CAGCTCCCCGCCATGGGTGATGGGCGTGCCCAGGTTCCACCATCAGCGGTACAGCGAGTGCCCGCGGGGCTCTGCGGCATCCCCCCGGGCATCTCTGTCCGCTTCCACCCTGCCGCCTCGGGCCCCACCTGTGCAACGGGGCAGGGAGGTGCGCTGCCCTTTGCAGGTACCGTGTGGTCTGTGGGAGGCCGGGGATAGGTGCTGTGAAATTGGGAGCATGTGCTCGTTCTCAGAAACAGTTGCACACCTGACTTCAGGCGTCTCCATGTGCACCTTAAAAACTAGTGAAGTGTTTCTGGCTAATGTCTTCCAGAGTCACGAAGAAGATGACAGGAAGGTAAGGAGGAGAGAAAAAAATCGCGTTGCCGCACAGAGGAGCCGGAAGAAGCAGACTCAGAAAGCAGATAAACTTCACGAGGTGAATGGGTACTTGATGTTTTGCGGGCACGACTTGGGTACCAAGCATGGGACTTTACAATAAACGGGACTTCTTAAGCATGCGTGGGCCTGTCTTCACGCTAATCCAGCTCAGAGAGCTGTGGGTGTGTGGCAGAGATGGGCGTGCTGCAGGGTGCCTGTCCGGGAACTCCTGGACACTGATGCTCCCGTCAGATGGAGCAGCTCTGCCATAGGTGACACTGCTAGGGAGAAAGAGACGTGGTCCTGCCCTTGCCTCACGCTCCTTCTTTTGCTGTTCCTGTGACCACCCAGTGAACTGGATCACAGGACTCGTCTGGACTGAAACAAACCCGTTTTCTTCTGGATTAGTGTTAAGCTTGTCACGTTCGCTATGGCAGTGGATGAATGCTTGCTGCCTTATGAGGGAGGAGGCGATGGAGGAGGAGGGGACTATGCTGCTTAGTGACAGTGCTGGCGTAAACCAATTCTAAAACTATGGTGTGAGACAGAAATACCCTGTTGAAAAGGCTTCTTAGGAACTTCAAAACTTCCAGGCGTGAGAGCTCGGTTCAGTTAGCTGTTATACTTGTATGCTCTGATAAATAACAGTGGGTGTTTCCAAAAAAAACATGAAAGTAACTGATTCTTCCAGAAACTCTTAATACTTCTTCTCAATATCACAGTGTGGTGTAGTTTCCTCTGGTCCCCAGTGCAAATGCTGAAGGACAGGAATCCCCTTTCTTTGGTTTTGGATGTTACCTCACACAACATTGCTTTTGTTGTAGGTGGGGCTTTTGGGATAAATGTTAGTTCTGTGATTGTGACCGAGTCAGTTGTTCAGCTCTGGAGGTTCAGCACAGGCTCTTCACTTTCTCGGTGTGGAAGGATCTGCTGATAGTCAGCAGAAGCCAAGAAGGACAGTGTGGGGAGTTTTGGGTTTGGTTTTTCCCAGATGTCCTCTGAGTCAGCGCCTGAGAAAGCCAGGTGCAGAGTACTTCTGGAAAGGGGTAACCCCAGGCTTTTGTGGAATCATTTCTGGGCCCTGTGCTGTCCTGCAGCCTCTCTTGATGTTCTGCCTGGACTTGAGGAACTTCCTCATGCTGGGAATCATCATTCTCAGGCACGTTGGTTTTCCTAGGTGCAGGCAGATTTAGTTGAACAGACGTTCATTCTTAGCATGAACAATTTGATAGTCTTGTTCCTGAAAACAGAACAGAGTGATGGGAGGGTAACACTTTCTGCAAAAGCCATTCCCATGGGGTTTGGGGCAACAAGAGATGAGCCGAGCCAGAGCCAGGGATGGACAACTTGGCTGGAGTTGGTGACCATAATGTGTTAGGAGGACCATGCCTGTTTGTGAGTGAGAGATGGTGAGTGGTGGAAGGATGTGTGGATCCCCTTGCCCTCCCTCGCTCCTGCAGCAAAGGGCAGCAAAGGTAGTACCAGGCTGCCCAGAGGAGCATTGCATGAGAGGCTCTCCCTGCTGCCTGGTAATCAGGCCTTTTAAGGCATGTGTAGGCTTTGAACTTTGCTCTGAAGCTTTCCTGGGGAGGTGAGATTGAGTGGGTGAGTGTTGAGCCCTAGGCCAGCAGCAAGGTGCTGACACCTGCAGGTTTTCCGTGGGCTGGTTCTGAACCTCTAGCTCTCTTCTTTTTAGGATGAGAAGTCTTGACAGCAGGGACACTTGAAACATGCAGTTATCAAAAAACGTGACACGCGAGTCTCACATCCGTCACAGATGTGTGCTGCAGAGCACCTCAAAACTCCCCTGCAGTTAATAACAGCTTATTCATTGCCAGAGAAGCCTTTGCTCAAAAGCAGCCTGGGTCAGGAATAACCAAGGCAGTGGTCAGGCCTTCTGGTGACAAAGTGGTACTGGGAACAAGCTGCCATGATGCTCCCTTCCTCCTGCTCTTGAGTTCCCGGGCATCTGAGCAGGTGGCTACAAGCTCTGGCCAGACTGGAGGAAAGTGGCTGGCACTGGACGTGTCATTGCCAGAGAAGCCTTTGCTCAAAAGCAGCCTGGGTCAGGAATAACCAAGGCAGTGGTCAGGCCTTCTGGTGACAAAGTGGTACTGGGAACAAGCTGCCATGATGCTCCCTTCCTCCTGCTCTTGAGTTCCCGGGCATCTGAGCAGGTGGCTACAAGCTCTGGCCAGACTGGAGGAAAGTGGCTGGCACTGGACGTGTTGTGCTAGGTGAGCGTCTCAGCCGGCACCTGGCCTTTCCCCATGCTGGCCCAGGGCAGAGGCTGCCCTTTCCTCACCAGCAATGCCAGGCACCGGGTTTTCCCAGCACCTACCTGCACTTGGTGCTTTCATTTTCTCTGCTCTGACAGTGCAGAGCAGGGTCAGACCTTCCCAGCAGAGGTGGCCCAGGGCTGGAAGAGGCCACCCACGCCTGCGGCCCTGGGCTGCTGGGGACCCCCGAGGGCCAGCAGCACCTCCTGGTCTTCAGAGCCACAAAAGGAATTGCAGCGTGGTCAGTGTACAGGTCGTAAAGTACTTGCCCTGTTCCAGGACCCAGGTTGTGTCTGTCTTTCCTTAGCATTTTGCACATTGTAGTAAGAAACCATGCAGTTTTTCTAAGGTTACGTGAATATACTCAATGTGGAAGCACTGAAAGGAATGTTTTGACTATGAGTAGGCTTTTTTTTTCCTCCTCTCCTTCCAGGAATATGAGTCTCTTGAGCAAGAAAATACATCCCTGAAAAGAGAAATCGGAAAGCTAACAGATGAAATGAAACACTTGAGTGAAGTGTTGAAGGATCATGAAAAGATCTGTCCACTATTGCACTGCACCATGAACTTTGTGACCCTGCCAAGGCCCGATGCACTCACCAGCTGCCTGCCAAGATGAGAGCTCTCCTTGATTGCCTTTAAGCGTGATGTGTGAAAGTGCCATTAACAGGAGATTTGAAGAACTGCCTACTTCACAGTGCAGGTCTTCCATCGAAGAGGGCTGGACTTGATCACACAGCTGTTCTCCATGCTGAAGTTTTATAGTCTTCTGAATCTCAGGAAAACACCACTATGGAAAAAAAGACAACTCGAACTGCGACTTCTTATTTGGTAGAATCTTCGAGCCACGGTTTTGCCTTCAGAAATGTCAAAATGCAGTGGCAGCCCACCATCGCACCATGGAATGTAGACAGGGAAAATTACCGACTTTGGGCTGGGATGCCTTTCTCCTACACATCCGCTGCCAGTAACCCTTTGTCACTTGTCATCCATGTATATCACGTTCTGGCTGCTGTTTTTTTTTCTCTAAACAGGTTTGGTGAATAAAAGCGATATCCCATCTTTATGATGTTCTCCACCTTCTTCAATAATCAATGCTTTTATAACGCCTCTACTTTTTCTTTCCTTGTCAAATCCAAAGTCTAATGCTAATCTTCCTGTCAGTTGTTTTATTAGTTGCTTATCGCCTCTTCATTGGTTCCTCTTTTGAAGTGTGTGTAACAAATGAGTTTTCCCAGTCTTTATTTCTTTAATATCCCCTGCTGACATTAGTTCTTGGAGTGTTTTATATACTAAAATACAGCTTGAGCGATTTCTAGTGATGATTGTCTACTCTGTATGGAAGAAAAGCAAGACAGAGTTTGCCGGTTCTACACATCGTTTTAAAGAGCAGATTTTAAAATTTACTGTTTTAAGGCACCTACTGGAGATTAACAAATGTCTTTATCCTTCATTTTGCATATTGTTCTGGTAAGTGGTGTCTGTGGATAGAACAAATTGAGTTTAGCTAAGCATTTTGTTCCATGTCCATACTGAAGATGTTTGATAACTGCTTGCAAGAAAAACATGACGTTTTCTTTAACTTTTTTTTTTTTTTTACAAAAAGGAAGAATTATGGAAGAATTATGACAGTATTAGCAAGAGATATACAGAAGAAATATACAGAAAAATGTGTTTACTTTCTCTGAAGATTCTTAGTAGTTTCAAGCTCTAGAAACGTGAATGCTACAGCCTGAGATCCAGCAAAGAGTGTTTTTCTCTCAATATTTCCCAGTCAAAGAGCACTTTTGGATAATAAAAAGCTCCACTCCTTTGCCAACTCTCTCACTTTAGCATTTGGGTTTTTTTCAGTTCATCTCATGGGATTAATTCCTCCCCTCACCAGGATCGTAGTATTTATCAGTAGAATGTGATCTGAAATGTCTGAAAGATTTTTTTTCTTCTTTAGTTGCTTTAGTAGAATGATGCATTGCTGATCACTGCCAAGATAGAATTGGGGAAACCGTGTAGTCAACTCTGCCTTCTAAAGGGCCCTCTCATGCCATTGTCTTAGGCTAGAAACTTAAGATAACAGGCATGAGTTGTTGGTGTCTTTAAAATAGTTTTCATTAGGTTATCCCCAAGAGAATTTTCAGCATTCACGGAAGCTATCTATGCAGTCTTCAGAATTTCTTATGGTCCTATAAGAACTGAGTTATCCCACGAAGAAAATCTGATGCAGTCCCTGCCAAGGAAAATGAAGATTCCAGAATGCTTCAAAATATGTATTTTGGATAATGTCCTTGCTATGATTCTGTGTGTCACCCTTAAGAAAGGAAGCTATCTTAAGCATCTTCATCCACCCACCAGCATTCCTTTGGGCCCTGGATGCCACTGCCTAATTGGGGCAGAGTAGAGGTGTAATGGAGAAAGAGGCGAATACTGGAAATGAGCAACATTCATGCTGGGAAAAATCATTATAGCTTAGGATGCAGGGAGAGCAAGAGAGGATGTCTCACATCTCTTAACTAGGTATGTGCAACAGAGCCGAGGCTGGGAATGGAAAGTAGCTAGCTGAGGTCAGGTGCAAAAAGCACGATCTCTCCTATGGAGCCCTGCAGACCGTTGAAAAAGGGGAGGAAAGATCAACCACCTTGTCTAAGACAGTCCCTCCCAGCAGAATCCTTCTAAAGATTTTTTTGTGCTACAGATGCTTGCTTCTAGAAGTAGAGGTCTAGTTCCCTGTGTAAAACCCTCCTCCTTACACATTTATTCTTCTAGATGTCTGTCTAGAAACCAGCTCCAGTATATCATTTGGTAGTCCGAGCTCTACTGCACAATCTTCATCAGGAAGCACCATTCTTGTTCTGTGATGTGAGCTTTAGTCCACTGTTTCTGCATTGGAATTTATTGGTTTATTAACTGTATAACATCTATGCAGAGCGTACAGAGAAAGACAGCTGAACTCACAGCAATATTGTGTGCTGGTAACAGCAATCTAAGTCCAAGGCTATGCTGCTATTCCTTGGAAGGGCTGGGAGCTCTGCAGGGGCCTTCACTGCCACCAGTTACTTCCCACAAGTGCAGGGTGTAGCTCCAGCCTGTGCATCATGTCCATTAGTAACGGCAGGCTTTGAACCTTCTGGGGCCTGGGCTGCTTCTTACTCCTTCATCTATTGCATCACTTTTTTTCCCAGCACTGTTTCCAAAAGGCCTTATGCATCATTCTTCTGTTTAACAGGTCAGCCAAGGCATCTCTCACAAACAGTATATTGTATGACAAATGTTCAAAGGCAGCTGGGAAACCCAAGCAAAAGTAAGTGAGCAGAATGAGAGTCCCAAGCCAAATAAACGCAACATTCTGATATATTTATAGAATTAGTGTCATAGCTGAATCATGGGTCAAAAGGGACAAGGAACGGTTAAAGCGCAGGCTTATGTGTCTCGAAGCAAATGATACGCGTACAGGCTGATGACACTCTTTGCAGGAGCTGTTCATAAGGATATTGATTTACAGAGAGTTTCAAAACCGAAAGTATGTTTTGGAGCCTGGGATAATTGTTACATGAATAGGGAACCAGAAAGGAGAACAGAAAGGAAAAGGCCCATTTGTTAAGGAAGCAACAGAAAGTTATTTTTCAAATCCAAACCTCTCTTTTGCAGCAGGGTATTACACCATCACAAAAAATGTTTCATACCTATATATGGCTAAAATACCGCTTGATGTATTCTAGCTTCAGAAAGCTTCCAGTTTGCTTAACTTGCTCCTTGTGAGTGTGGTCTGTGTTACATTCACGTGATTTTCAGACGCAGGTATATAGGGAAGATCTTTTCTATGTTCAGATGATGGTTCATGTGAGGAGTACCGCGGACTGCAGTCTGGTTTGTGGATGCATATGTAGATGAGGGTTGCCACGAAAGCTGGATTTTGCTTCTTAGGTTCACAGCGAAGGTTAAAGTTTGCCTAGATTTGGTTAGCGTGGATTTCCTTTTTGTCTTTTCCGTGACTCTAATGAAGAAGCAAAATGCTCAGTGCAAACTTAACCACAGATAAAAGTATTCATTCCGGGAGCAGACTGGGTCCAACACAGCTATTTCTCTATTCATTTCTTTCAGTTGTTGGGTCAGATTTAAATTGACCCTATTTTGAAAAGATAATTTTTGCCTCCAAAGGTAAAAAAAAATTAACAGAAAGACAAAGCCAGGGTTACCAAAGCTGCTAGGGTGAGTATAACAGAGATCACCTATTATACCTCAAGAGAGCTGATTAGAAAGCCTTGCCCCTTCCCACTGATGTTTTACATTCATATCTGGGAACATGTATAAGTGTCTTCACGTACTCATCCAGAGTCTTGCTAAAAATACACCTTTAAAAAAACATTTAAAACAGACTATTCTAACAGACTTTCTGTTTTTTTCCCTGATACCTTTTACTGTTATGTACTGCTCCTTCTGTAACACGTGCCGATATCATCTGCGTTTGGTATTTGCAGCAGCCTTTGTATTCTCTCGCCATTTTATTTCAAATGCCGCTTTTTTTCCTTCTTCCTGTTTCCTTCTGTTCCTGTGTAGCTTGGTGACAACATCGCTTAATGTTAGCGGTATTAGAGGAACAAGGCTGATCTGTAGGGGCGTGTAGAAATTCAGCTTCACTGCTACGCTCCATATGTGATTAAGGCTTTTATGTGTAGATAGTTTTGTCAGCTGAATATTAAGGAAGGTGTCGTGCAGTCTTTTAAAATGTATTTAAAAGTGACATAACCTTTACTCTAGCCTATAAAACCCATACTGTTTCCTGTCCATAGATGAACGCTTTGCTGCATGGCATTTGGGGTTTCCATCTGTGAATCAGTCTAGCATTTCTGCCTCAGTGAAAGTGATAGATAAAACAAGCATTTTTAAAAAAATCCCTTTTCTTCCCATCACTGCAGTGATATGATTCCTGTCACAGGAAGGAAGCATGTCTGATAAGCAGGAGAAGCAGTGGGTTTATTTACTGTTACGAAGAGTACTGTTATTCTTTTCATAGGACGGTAGGAGTTTTTTGTTTGTAAACCCTGGGTTTCTGTCAAATGGTCACTGGAGAAGCGTTTTACGTGTACATACAGCATGTGGTGAGGGCGCACATCCATAAGGGAGTGAAAGAATTTGGATTAATTCTTTGCAGAAACGTGGGTTTAAACTGATTTCACTGGAAGTAGAAACGGTCCTACAGCTGCCTCAGAGGACATGCGGCACTATGCTTACTAACTTGGGTAATATTTAACTCAAGAATAGCTACAGGCTAACTTGAAGTGTGTAATTCTTACTAAGGAAACCATAGTAACAATCATCTCTGAGCTTGTGTGCTCCTTTTCTGGTACTCATTCATGTTTTTTCCTAGGTAGTTTCTATGGCAAAAATCCGTAAGAATAGAGTAGGAATTTTTCCTCCCAGTGTAGAATTTTTAAACCATAACATCAAATGTAAAGGCTTGACTATTCTGGAAATAGCTGGCATAGCCTTTGCAAATAATGTTTGCTACTAGTTATGTGTTTGGTCTGCTCTAAGGGAATCATTATAGTCCTCCTTAGATGTGGAAAAGCTAAACCACAAAGGGCTGTCTTGTTGTAGAATGAAAACCTTCATCTGAGGAGTTAG